GGAAGGAATGTTAACATTTAAAAAAATTTTAAAATTACTTGTGAAGAAGAGTGAAAGACAAATGATAGATGCATAATTGGCCATCCAAAATTTAATTTATTTTTCTTCTGTTTCCATTCTTTCTTTCTCTTCAAATGAAATTTCAGATTTCTTTTGGTTTTTTCTCATTTCATAAAGATATCCTAAATTGATCACATCAGCACGTGATGGACAATCATTATAAGGATTGGTATTACAACAACATACAATCAATGGTATAGCCGTTATTATATCACGTGTATCCGTGTAAAAGCATTTCTTAGCAAACCCATTTTTTAGATAATTTGAGCATAATGCCAAGTATGGATATTTTTTCAATAATGTTTGATCAATATCTGATATGCAACCAGCTGGAAGCTAAAGCAATATGTCATATTAAAGGATGAAATCAAAGTTACAATAAACAGCTTATTTGCAAAGTTTATTCCAATAGTTCATGTGATGAAATTATAACTAAAAAGTTTTGAATTTCAGGACATTTGGATAAGTGAGGCTTACTGTAGCTCACTGATATTATCAAGAAATAAATTCAACATAAGCAGAGTTTCTATAATGGGTTTACAATAGGGAAATTGCAGTCATTTTTGGACCAAAGATAAACTTAAAAGTTGGTATTAGTTATTGAAATAATTGGAACAATTAATTTTGTGACCAGTTCAACGATCATAATTTGCCTTATACTGCTAACGACATAATTCTGTGTTTCATTTGTAATTTGCACAACTTACATTACTGGGTATAATACGTGGATCAGTAACCGTAGCATATCGGATCTGATAGCAACCCATCGGTGATTTACACCTAGCCAAATTCCTATCAGGCTGAATGCAAAAGTTTTGCTCCTGTCGATATGTTTGTTCATTTATCATCCATACTGAATCTATTGGTACCAATTTACGCATAAATATGCTCTGAATCTTTTTCTTCTTATTACACGGAACATTCCCATCTATAATGATGACAGTGGACATCTTTCTTTTGGGGTCAACAATAATCAAGATTTATATTCTCGTCATAAACACATCCAGTTATTCCGTTTGGACAAAATTCGTCCATCTTTCTCAGTTTTTGACATTTTTTAATAATTTTATTTCCAAGTATTGAAATGATACTATTTTATCAAATTTGATCTTCATATTGTTTAACAAAAATTGGAAAAAAGAAATGTTCGATTAACATTACATACTTGTTGTTGGAAGATTATCAGTTAATCCTTCTACTATATTTTAGTAAATTTGATTATCCCAAGAAAAAAAAGGAAACTACAGCTTTTGCAGCAACAAAATACTCGAGATTGAAATGATGTGCAAACATATGGTCCATTTTCGCTGGAAATTTTAATACAAATGTCACTAATTTCTGGATGTGTTGTAATTTTCACCTAAAACATTACATCGACCTGCACAAATTGTTTGTAAAGAAATGATATAAATATAAATGATTTTAAAGAAATATATGGAAGATCAAAAGGCCAAAAAAATAGAATTGTCTAATTTTAGAGAGGATATTTAAATAAAGAACAATTGAGAATATAAAAAACTGAATAGTTTAATGACAGTAATTTTGATAAGCCCAAACAAAATAATTTTGACTTTCAAATTTTGAAAAGTCAGAAATTAAAATATTATGGATTTTTAGCAAGATACAAAAAAGTCATAGAGAATTATAGAAAATTAAAAAAAAAAAAAAGGAACAAGGTAAAATGATATATACTTCACCACTGATCCAATGAGATACAAGTTCTGTCCCATGTTTTTCAACTTCCAATTGATCATAACACCAAAAGGTCTCATCTGTTTGCAAGTAAAAACATCGTATTAAACAAAAATGCATTATATTATATAAATTGGAAATGAAATAACTGGAAGCTGTTTAACATCCTATGGATAATTACTACCATTTTTCTCCGATTTTTCTTTTTTTTTTTTGGCTTTCTCTGAACATATGATAATCAGGTCTTCCTATAATAACCGGAATCCATATTCATTCCTTCATCATTTTATTAAATATCAATTATCGTTGAATTTCTATTATGGCTTAATCATTTCATAATAATTCAAAAATTTCTGCAACAACATTAAAATAAAATCAGGTTTTAGTATTAATTTGTTCTACACTAATCGAATTTTAGTGATGATTTTTTTTTTTTTTGTAATTTCTCGATCACTCAACAGTTGCATCATTCTTCTTTTTTTCATTACCATTTAAAATGAAAAATTTAATCGGAAAAATGGAAATTCAATTATTACTTGATGGTTTTGTGATATTGTTCATTAAAAATTTGCTTATGCCAGTGGGTGCGGAATTTACCGTTTCCGTTATCAAATTTATATGATAACATGAAGGTAATTTTGATTTTTCACTAACTGCTTTTGCTTTTTGCGCTATTTCCTCTCCTAATTTAACATCACAAGTTGTTTCACTCATTCTGAAAAAAATTACTTGATTGTTTTGGTTATCCTTATTGCTTTATGTTATCATTGAACACTATCGCATCAATATTATCATTATTCATTTAGTATTGCATTATCACCCACTTAGTTAATAACATGATCAGCTATCAAATATTATCATTTGTGCTCACTTGCAGAATGTAATAAACTTTTTGCTTATTCATAAACTAATTAATCCATTCACACTAATTCGAAATGCACTTGTAATCATACAACATAAAAATGTCATCCTTAATTCAATTAAACAAAGATACCGACGCTAGTTAATTTATTATCCATTTCTTAGAAAAATAAACAAAATTCCAAAATTTTTTGTGAAAACTTTAAAACCTATTGAAAACCATAATTTTCAAAAAAAAAAAATGCTCACATAATTCAGAATTCTATCATTAAACATATTAAAAATTGCGTCCACCTACTTCAATTATTTAATTCTCTAGTGCGATTAGTTAATCAGTTTACCATTCTATTATTGGTCACTCCATATTCATTCCTTATCCTCTTTTTATGGATAATATTTTCAAGTTAAGAATTTATATTTATTAAACGGATCAAATTATCGAAAAACAGGAAACTGAAAAACCTTGTTGGTGAAGCTTCTCCGGAACAAGTGCACATATATATAAGTCTACCTATTAAAGTATCTTCTCGTTTGTATATTCCATCTTTGCAACGAATTGGTATGTTTACACGTATTTTTGCTTCAATAAATTGACAGCCAAGTTGTTCATAAGCACTAGAAAAAAAAAAAAAAAAAGAAAAACCCCAAATTATATATATCTCTATTCAATTTCTGAAATAGTTCTCTTTTTTTCTTACAAATAAACTTAAAATATTAAACATTTGCTATTATTTATTGATTTATTATCAGGAATGAATTAATCGAAATTACTGGTAAATGAATTTTACTCAATTATTGGTAATTTACTCAATTGTAAATGAATTAATTGAATAATTAGTTAAAAACGAATGGATGAATGAAACTGTAAGAAGCTTAATGAAGTAGTAACATGACTGATAAATAAACAATACATCCTTAAAATGATAAAGAAATGTTGAAATATTGAAACATATTCCTTGTTTTCAAATTTTTAGATAAAAATGAAGTGATGCAATGTGAAGATTGACTAAAATCCAATATATGAAGCATTAATATCAAGCAAAAGTATAACTTAATGTATTCCTTTGGATTAAATTGCTAATAGCAAAAGTAAACATCCTAAATTAAATTATTTTAGATTTTTTTTCACGCTAATTAATAATTTCATGTTTTTTATTTGTTAATTTTCTACCGATTCAATTCAATCTTATTGTTTTATAAGCCCGAAAATGACGGAAAGATGTATAAATTTTTTCTGACTTTATTATTTGTTTTGTTTTTTTATTTTTTTTTGTCATTTCAATACAATTAGTTTTTAAAATAGACCAGAATAAACAAGACAGGCCTAGTTATCTCATTTACATTTCGGCCTAGTTATTCCATTTACAGTTAAACTTTTTAACTTTAATCTTTTTGTATTAATGAAAATATTGTTGCAATAATAAAAACAAAAATAATATAAGCTATGAATTATTGCGCCCACTAACTTATAATCATCTTTACGTGGTAAATACATGTTGGCATTCATATGTAAGTTGACAACTTTTCCAAGTACAAAATCATAATGTACCGCACAATATTTTTTCTCCCTTGATAGGAAGACAAAGCGAAATGATGACCATTGGGCACATAATGGACTCTGAATTCATAGAAACAGAATTATCCTAAATTTCGATCACAAAATTATTGAAAAGAAATGGATTGTTCTTTTTTTCTTTTTAATTTCATTTATTAAAGCAATTTGCATGCAATTGAATTACAATTACAGGTAAAAAGTTGAGAAGAAAAACGGGCAAAAATTAATTTTATATTTTTCCTATCAATTGATACACTTCTACGATTTTTGTTACAATAAGTTCTTTTTTTTCGTTACGAGAAATTTTAATTTAAATTATTAAAGTGGAAAAACTAACCTTCATATAAATAGGTAATGAATAGAAGGCACGATATGAATTCATATCATGATTACACAAATGGCTACCCTCACAACAACATTCTACTGTCATGTCCTCTACCGGCAGTGTTTTTTGTGTTGGACAAATTAAATCACGAATTTGACAGTAATGATAACCATTTTCAGTTTCTCGTGCCATCGTACAACCCGATGCAATATTCATTTCTATCGTCCTAAAAATCAATTTATCATTTTCCCATTTTTATATAATTAAAGTTCAAATTGTAATTATTTAATTACTGATCTTATATGTGATTTGATTGTGCCATTACAATTTTCATCTTTGCTACAATCTCTGCTGTTTGCTTAATAATTTGATCAGAAAAGTGTAATTATCAGATAGGTATGAAAAAAAATTACTATCAATAAAAATGAAAAGTATACTGCTACTTAAATTTTAAGGCAATAAATTTGAAAAAAAAGGCAGTTCAAATTTAATTACTGATTACTTGAATATTTTAATTGCATTTATAAGGCTTTTGTTCCGCTGAAAAAATAGAAATTATAATTTTGAATGGATTTGACTTTTTTGTTTTGTCTTATTAAACAATTTGAAAATTGATAATTACATTTGATAATCTTCACCAATCCCTTTCTTGTAATAATAAATGGACTGACATGAGCGAACATTAGTAGGAAATGCCTTATCTATTAAACGTTCTTCCCTCAAAGTTTCATTCATCTTCAGCTAAAAAAGAAAAACTTAAATGTAATTGAAATGAGCAAAAAGTAAAGTTATTATTTCAAATTCAAAATTTTTTCAAATCCTTTATTTAGTACAAAACAGATTATAAATGAAATTTAATAATCAATATTATATTTAAATAAAAACTTTCTGACATCATAAGTAACATTTAAATAATAAGAATGCTCATTTCATCGTAATATATCATTTGGTGGAGATAATGAACAAACAACAAAAAGCATCTAAATATGATACATATTTTATGATAAACATTAATCAATCACTAATAAAATTTTTACATTTCATTTCATGAAACAGTCCAGAAGATCAAAAAATTTAATTTTAAATTTCAAATTCATTTTGGTCTTTTACCGTTCCAATAGCACAAACAATTTTTGGTTTATTGTGGTAGTTACGGTATACTGAATTTTCGCCAAATTCATATTCTGCCAATTTATCCGGTTGATCAAGAAATTCTTTTGCTAAAGATATCGATTTGCCTGGATCAACCTTATAATCATCCTCTAATGAGCCACAAATCTCAAAATTTTCGTCGCAACAACACAACTGATAATAAAAGTCAGGTGTTGTTAATGTTACACATTCAGAAAACTGAAAAAAAAAGTGGGAATCTTTCATCAGCAAATTCAAATTAAATTGACAAATTAAACAAATTAAATTTGCTCATTTTGTTTTATTTTCTTATTATCGTTCTGATAATAAGCATGAAAATAAGTGATGATAAAGTTAAATTTAGTAATAAAGTGAACAATATTTTAACAGAAAGAGTTGAAATTAATTTAGTCATCTGAGGATAAATTTAAATGATTAAGTTATTTCATTAGCAATAATTTAGAACTACTCTTTTGCATGCAATGAATAAATTCAAACATTTTTTGATTTTAGTTATTTAAAATAAATTTACTTACATTTAAATATTTTTCTGAATCACTTTCAATCTCTACGATTTTTCTCGGTCTGCAGGATCGTTTATTTTTTAATGCTAAATGATCGATTGGGAAAAACTGATAATCTTGCTCTGGAAACTATAATTAACAAAGGTCATGATCAAAACGATAAAACAAACAGATCGTTGACCTTTGCAATATGACAGGAATGATGTTAACTATAAAATGAATGATTCAGATAGTTTTGTTACACCAAATAGTACTATTTCTAAAAGCTTTTAAGCCTATTTTTCAATTTGCATCTAAAGAGTTTTTTAAGTAAGCTTAATTTGGCAACGCTATACATTATAAGAATATCAAAATTGACGAATTTAATAATAACATCAGATACGTCATGAAGTTTTAATTAACTGAACATTTAAGGGCAAATTTGTTCAACAAACCAATACAATCATACACAGTAAAATAAATTATGATTGTGTTATCAAAATTCAAAAATAATTTCGTAATTAAATATAAAATGTAACATACATAATTTTTAACAAGATCTGATGCTTCAAATTGTGCCAAATCAGACATATGAAATAATCCAACCTTGAAATGCGGAATAAAACCTGCTTTTCCTTCAATAACCGCAACGCATGAATCACCAACATAGCTCTAAGATTTTAATATTATTCTAAATGTAGAAATGTTTGCAAAACTTATTACTGTAATTTTAAATGCTCATTATAGTACAAACAATTGTTTTTTCTTCTTAATTAGACCATTTGATTAATTCTTCCATTTAGCATATTTATATAAAATAATTGAAAGGATAAAAAAAAAATCATCAACCTCATCGATACAATTTGTACGAATATTAACAATATTGTTAATTTTTTTGGTGATATTATCTGCCGACGATAATCTGCTAATAATCGATAATATAACCTACTGGTTATATAATTTATGGCACCATTTTCATCACCTACTTCCCAATCACCTTTGTGACAAAAAAATATTGTATCAACATGGCGCAATATTTTCTTTTCACTGTAATTAATTTGATGCAAATTCTTTTTTTCTCTACAAAATGTCGTAAATAATGAATTATAGCTTATAGCTTATAATAGTTAATAATGTATAATAAGTTATGTTTGGTAAATTCTAATCATATTCATTATTATACTTTACGATAATGAAACAAACAGATTTTTAATTACGCTTAATGAAAGTAAATTCAATTCAATATATCAAATTGATTGCGAAAGTTTTAAAAAATGATTACGTAATACTGATAAAGAGAAAAAAAAAGGTATAGATGGATAATGAATTACCAATTCACTGGTTTAATTTTAAACAATAATTTATCAATTGACTTACTTAAAATCATTCAGTGTATGGTCCAAAATAATCGGAAATCTTTCATTATCATAAGTGATGCCGTAAAATTGAGTAATATTTTTTAAATGATGACAAGTTCGTAATAAATGTTCAACATTGCCCGATTCGCCATGATTATTCGAACCATAATTCACTACTGTACTAAAATCCATTGCAAACCAATAGTAGCAAAATTCCTGTGCTGTAAATTATATTTCTTTACAATATTTTTATTAAAAGATATACTATCTAAAAGTTAGACATTGCTGATTAATAATAATTATATTAAATTAATGAAGAAAGGAAAAAAAATTTATAATTTTATTCTCATAATTTCATACCAGTATAACGTGATTGGTTGAATAGTTCGATGCACGAAACATTTTTTCCATTTTCTCCTAAACAATCAATTTATTTTGAATTTAAAGAAATGTTGAATGTTACATCGATAAAATTAAACTTGAAGCAAATTTACATAATATTCATATCTAAGCTTTTTAGGAATTACATTGATTGTTATGATAAAGCAATTATTAATTTGGAATAAACTAATTAAATATTTTATCACATTTCATAATCATCAATGACAATAAATTATAACAATAGGCTATCGTATCCTAAATTACGTGATAATATAAATGAAAATAACTGTTTCATTGTAATTGCATTGTTCTAATAATCAGTTAGCTAGTTGACTAATGAGCTAATCAGCAATCAATTGGTAATTACAGTAAATGAAACAGTGCTTGGGCGAGGTCTAACCCAAAACAATTGACAATGTTCATGGCTTTAAATAAAAGGCTATTCCACATAAAAAAGAAAGAAAAAAAAGAATATTCTGATAACTTCATATATTCTCCCACAACAATGTCAGATAAAAAAGTTTTAACTAAAATGATAAGTAAATGTTCAATGATTAGTGATATTATGACGTTTGACTCTGGAAATGAAAATTGAAATTACAGAAGTTAAATCATCTAAAAATGAAATCTTTGAAAATTTTAAAAGTTGAAATTTAGCTTAAACGGACGTTGTGTTTCAAAACCAATCGTTGCTGTAGTGAGACCAAATATAATTAAAAATAGACGAAAGATGGAAATAGAATATATTATATCAGGAGAAAGCCTTTTAATGGCTTCAACGTAAGCAACCATTCAACCTTATGTATACCCTTCAATAAACCTTTTTTTCGAAACAAGAATAAAATCAGACATGGAAATTTATACCCATTGCTAATTTTGCATAGTTTTGCATTAAGACAATCAGTTTCGGATGTTGTATTAATTTAAAATGATTGTACTTACAATGATCAAAACAAACTTTTGGTGTATATGACCGATGTTTAACACTAAATTAATAGCGTCGTTATTATTTGTGATGCTGTAATTAAATGAAAGATTTCTAACGGAAATAATTCAAATGAATTACACCTCAAAATGCATGCAGTTCCAGTTATCGGTTGAAACGATGCTAGTCTATCACATGGTAGCTGGAACGATCCAGATCAATCCTTTATAAAAATGATCAATATATCTTTATGTTGAACAAGTAAATATTTATTATCCTGACGAGTTTTTTTTTGGCATATTTTTTTGAAATTTTTGAGGTGCATCACCTCAAAAATTTCAAGAAAAGGGGATGCTTCATCCTTTTTAGGTAGGACAATCACCTCCCAGAACTGGTCTAACCGTTATCACCAGAAACTGGCTCCTATCCGCTAGAACCAACAGCCATCCACCAGAACTATTGTCATTATTAACGTCTTTCGCGAGGCCAAGCTTTATTCAGAATACTTTCAATAAGTATCGTAGGTTGGTCTTACCGAATCAACAAACCTTGGTCATTTGCATAACATTAAAAGGCAATAAGTAACCACAGGAATAAAACAAAATATTTTGTAAAATTTCAATGTCTTTAGATAGAGGAAATATAACTGGCCTAACATTGTCAAAATTAGACTGAAATTTGAAGTTTAAAGAATTGCTTTTCCGAAAAAAATCTGCAAATTATCACTATGAACAAATTAAAAGGAGCATAGTCTAATCAAAAATTTTAATAATTTAAAAAAATTAACAAAAAAGACTGCAAGTAAGAGGAAAAAACAGGTTGGAATTATAATGATACTATAATAACAACAGAAATTGTTTCATATGGCGTCTTTTTAATGATTATTCGTCAAAATTTTGTTCTGCAAATTTAAGAAACTGCAGTTTATCATAGCATAGTCTCTGGTTTTTCCATATATTCCTTAAAATGCTTGAGCCAGATTGCACCAACAGCACCAT